ATTAGAATAATCGATTATTGTGGGGAAAAAAAATAATCGCGCAGCCCTATACTGCACACACTGTTATATAGTTATTGCTACTGCGTATTATCTTAAGCCCTTGGGTCTTCCTTGTATCGTCAAACGCACAATAATTGTCCGTTACTCTGCACACCCGGATTTTTTAGTTTTTTTTTTTTTTACGTCCAAGACGAAAAACATAATAATAATAATAATAATAATAATATGTGGAACGTGTGTAAAACTAGTGACCGGGACCTCCGTCGGCCGTCCGGCCACAATGCCAAGTCGTTGATTAAATTAAAATTTCGCCATGTTTTGTGCGGTATAATAATAATAATAATACGATAATATTACGAGACACGAGACATGGATTCTAACGTGTTCCCATAATAGGTGTAGCGGCCAATTAATCATTCGAGTCGCTTCTCCCATAGTATATTATACCGTACGGATTTATATTTAAACGCCGCCGGTGGCTTTCTCGTGGACATTATTATTGCGGCTCAATGTTAATTTCTTGTCTGTTATTATAGCCGCCACCGTCTTCGTATGTCTACACCCTGTATATATCAACCGAATATACGACGACGCCGTTGTTGTTTTGGTTTTCCAAGTCGACGGGTAACTAATTTGTATGTGATCAGTTTAAGTATCGATGGAATTAATTATTCGCGGCGTGCAGATACAACCCTATACAAAAACTGAGATACAAACCGAGATCGATGCCTGTAGCGAATATTATGTTTTGCTTGATATTTTTTAACGTTTAATGAAAATACCGTTTCGTACCTATTGATTTGGTATGATAATAATATAATCGTACGCCACGACCTACTTGTTGTGGTTTTACATAATAATACAGCAAATCGAGGATTTTTCGCAGTACTTACTAATATAAATAGATTAATAAATTGAACGACTAAATTTGATTGATGGGTTGGTGGGTAGGTGGAAATGTGGCACGCAATTATAGCGTATTGTGTTTACGAAACAAATAAAGTACAATGAACGGTTATTGTAGACTTAGTTTTTCACGCTTACATTGGCTTGCAGGTTATAGTAGTATGTACATAATATTTTAAATCGTATAAAATTATGTATAAAATTGTGATAATTTCATTCACAGTATTCCGGTATAGTTTATCATATTATTATTTCGGTTTGTGTTATTTTATTATGGAACCATATGAATCGCCACAAGTCGAACAGGGTTCATAGTTACAGGTTTAAATTTTCCGAGGAAGATTTTTTTTTTT